AAAAATTTTGAATATAATTAATTAAACAATAAGATATTTTTCATTGGTAACAGATTTGTAGGTTGCGAATCATTATATAAATATCCTTTCGATTCTAAAAGTTAAAATTTTTATTAGCCACGCAATTTTAGATGAAAATGAGATTTGGCCAATAGACTTAATAACAGCAAAATGTATAGTATTTCCATATTATAAGAAATCTCGAAAATGTTGGGTTTCATTTCCATTAATTCATTCAATTCTTTAATTTTTCAATTTCCACTACTCTTTATTATTTGGTTTGATAATTATTTGGTTTATGAATTATTTTATTTTACTTAATCATCTTATAATTAAATTATCTTTATATCAATTTGAATATTATTCTATATTAAGCAAAAGCAAATATTTGTATTTTTATAACTTTGCTGCATTTAAAATGTTTTTCATTTATCTTTGTATTTTACATATACGTATGTGCAATAAAAGAATAATATTATTCAATATTATTAAATAAAAACAAATATTTTTATTTCAATAATTTTACTTAAAATGTTTCTTATTTAACTTTACATAGTATAATTTACATATACGTATGTGCAATAAAAAAAAGAAAAGTATTATTTATTGTAATAAATATCTGTTTATTGTAATAGAAAAGAAAATGAAAGAAATGTTACATAATATAAAATATGTCATTATACTATTACAGTATAGATATGTAATAAAAAAATGATCAATTTATTCTGTATTTTTATTTTTAATCTTGCCACAGTAAGAGTTATACGAGAGAAATAATATATACTTGTGTTTACGTACATTTAAAAGTTATATATGTATATATGGAAATATAATTGGATGCGTTAAGACTTGAGATAATTTTAAGTTAACGATATGTACTGAAGATGGCTAAAAATTTAGCCAAAATGTTTACAAATTAAAAATAAAAAGTTAATTAGTTAATTATTAAGTACCTACATCTTGCTTCGGCTTTGGATCCTCCAAATTCAATAATATATAATTTATAACATTTTAACTTCATAATAATATATACATTATATATTATTATTTAGTATTATATATATATATTATTGGTATTATTATAACGTTATAATTATTATAACATTATAATAATATTAACTGATAATCGTTTATTATTATGAAATTAAGAAGTTATTAATGACATTTATAACACGATAAAAAATAATGACGTATTTTCGACATCGATTATAATATGTTATAAGGTAGTACTTGCGCGACTATACCTGAGAAAATCATATTCCTAAGAAATATGATTTTCTCAGATATAATACTACCTTAAGATACTACCTTAAAATAAGACAAAAACACGTCAGTTTTACGATATTTAGACGTCATCTTAAAAAGTCTGTTTTGTCATAAAAATGACTATAAAATACTGTCGAATAGACGACATCTTGCTTCATAGAAATGACGTCAATAACTCGAAAATAATGACGTTTTTTCCACGTCAATTTATAACGTCATTAAGATGAGACAAAAGTACGTCAGTTTTACGACATTTGGACGTCATTTTAAGACGTCTAGTTCGTCCAAGAATGACCAAAAAATGCCATCAAATAGACGACACCTTGCTGCCTGGGACATGTTAAAAAGAATACACCAGCAAAATATAAATATACAATTATTCAGATTTTATTAGTAGAGTAATACAAAAAATACTGAAGTTTTTATCTCGAATAATATTACAAATCTTTAATTGACAATATAATCAATTTAAAATCAAATTTCTTCAGTGCAGCGCACTGTTTCAAAAATACAAATATAGATTTACATTATTTGTTTATTATGTAAATATTAATTTTAATTTAGTATTCTTTGATAACAGTTTTCTGCACAAAACTATTGCGATAATATCTTCTTCAAGATAAAATCGATATTGTATATCAGTTACATCATCAAAACAGGGTGTGGATAATAAATATTACATTTTGATTTATACGTCTTTATTTTATCTGATAAAACAGAATTTACTTCATAAATATTTACTTAAAAAAATCAAAATGCTGTAATTTTAGCAAATCAATATTGAAATAATCATGTAGATCATTCAAAATTGTTTTTTGTTAGATTAAAAAATTTTGGTAAGTTTTTCATGAATTTTGTTTACCGAGTCTTAATTATTTTTATTTTTAAAAATATATCAGTTTTTTACGAGGGTCAATTAAATATAAATCGAATTTTTTTCCTATTACTGAACGAGCTAACATTCGCGGCTAAGATCGAGTGGAGATATTAGTGGACGTGTTTAGACTCCCTCCTTACACATCATCTCGTATTTATTTATTGTAATCAAGTGTTTAACGAACGAAAACGTGAAACCGACCGATCGCAACCTTGTAAAGACTTGCGTCCTCAGCCGGTTTTACGTTTTCTTTTGTTAACCTTTAGAGAGTCAGCATTTTTTCCCTTGAAATCTTGTATATTTGAAATCCAAAACTTGTATATACATACAGGGTGGGCCATTTTAATCTATGCACCCAAATTTCTCCGTAAGTAAGCTAAATACAGAAAAATGGTTCAGACAAAAGTTGTTCAGGACAATGGGGGTCACCTATTTGTGCTAGTGACTTTGATCTTGAAGTCAATTTTCAAGGTCATTTGAAGGTCAGAGTTATTTTTTAAAATGGAAACCCCTATTTTTGATTCCAAAATCTAATAGCTGGTGTCAAGAGCTTTTCAAAACACTATAATAAAGTTATTTTTTATTAAGTACTTTTCGAGTTATAAGGCTTGTAAATTACAGTATTTTGACATAAAATACAAAATATCTTGTAAAACATTCAATTTTTAGGAATCTTACCTTAATACTTTTATGCATAAAATAATGAGACGAATCAATTGGTATAGAGAAAACACATTGGTTTTAAAAAAAAGTATGCAGTTGCATGTTGCAAATTACATATTTTTTCTTGAAAGCAACTATTTTAAGGTGTTGTGTTGAAATGTTCAACTAATTCCGAGCACTGGCTTAAAGTAATAGAAAGCAACAGCGAATACTTTGATTGAAAAATTTGTTTCACTTTCTTTTAAAATAAACCTTGATTTTAGCTGAAAAATTTGGATTATTTATATGTACACTTAATATAATGTCAATAAATAAGTAGACTTACGTATAAAGTGTATATAATATTAATTTTTATTATTTTTCACAACATATAAGAGCGTGTAACCACGTTTTACCATTAACTACAATTAATAACGATCGCTAATAAGTAAACACCAATATCCAGATGACGCAGTCACGCTCTAATAGAAATTTACAAACTTTCAAATAACGTACACAGTATGTTGAACAATAGGTCTATCTATTTTAGCTACACTTTATACATTTTTCCTCTTTTTTTCTCTTCAAAGCTTTCATATAACTATGTTGTTTAAATGCCAAAAATGTAACTAAAAACTGTGTTATACGGCATACATAACACACACAAATATTCGTACAAGCAATAATATCCTCGCATGCAATCATGTGCTCAATTCGCATATACACGCAGGCATACGTTAATAATATGTTTTACTGAATAAAATTTGCCTAATCCAGGAAAAGCATCGTATCCAGTTGTATAGTTGTATTATAAATTATTTTGTTCAAGTAGTTTGAACTGCATTATTGTTCTAATATAAAAATCAGATTAAAATAATTAATATATAAGTATATAGCGCTTTACTGTCTGGATTCCGCAAGAAAAAAATTTTTCTGAATGACTGCGTAGTCACACAGGTATGCATCGCCTCTTTTACCTCATCGTCCGTACTGAATTTTTTGTCACCGAGTGCCTACTTAAGGTCCAAACACATGATAATTATTCGGTGCGAGGTGATATTACTCTAGTGAATATGCAGGATGTGGAAGACACTCCAAACGCAGATTCGTGATTTTCTTGACTGTCGCATGAGCTATGTACAGCCGCGCGTTATCATGCTGCAACACACCAGAACCGAGTAAATCGCGACATTTTGATCTGATTTTGTAGGTTTCTGAAGCAATCATAGTATGATTCGCTGTTAATAGTGAGTCCTCCGGACATGTATTTTTGACTTTTTATTGCTACAAGGTTACTTTTTAATTCCTCGTATATATGTTTATATTCATAAATTAAAACATTACATAAGTAACAGTTTTTTTTTCAAAACTGAATTTTTATGTAATAATTTTATAATAAATAACTAGATAAAATATTTTTATTTTTAGGAATTAGGCAAATTGTACCATAACTGTTCTTTAACTACAATCTACATTTTTCTCGCCTGCTCTAAACAAAGTCGCTTCTAACTGAACAATCCGATAAATATTATATAAAACTATATGTCCTGTACGAAGCACTATCTATCTATAATATATTAATAATAGAGTTAATAACTAAAATTATTATATTTAGGGTTTAATAATTATAATATAATTATAATAAACAGAATGACAAATTATTAAGTACTAGAGAGGCAAAGTTGAACGCTTCAGGAAATTGATAGCATTTGCAAATATTGAAGTAACAATATAGCAAGACAGTAATTAAATTTCAAATGAATAAACTTGCTGAAAAATAATTAAGTGCTACTGTTTGCGACAATACTGAACGTAAATTAAATAATAATAGAAACGACGATAACATTATCGCTTAAACAAATACAATATTAATATTAATAATAATAAGACGATGTAAAAAAATGTGCAACATATTAATTTGACAGTGCGCAACGAGAACGACTATTATCCTTGAATATTTTTCTCCAAGGTATAAGTGCAAGAACCGTGCTGAGATTCCAATCCTTATGCGTTCATATACAAATATCGTGTACATTATTAACATAAGCAAGATAGTGATAATCGCGGAGTAACCGGTACCCGTTTCCGCCGATGAAACTTATTTACAATACGCGGCGATGAGCATCTCGGCAAAGCGTGCCTATGCCGAAATAACCGAGATTAAAATTGCGTGCGAATACAGTCTGTCAACAAAGAGCATGATTAACACATAACTTTTAAATTATTCATTATAAAAATAGAACAGAGAATATACATAGAATATTTAATTGAAATTAATTGTCTTCGGTATTTATTTTCTTTCTACGAAATTTTAATGAACCAGAAATTTGAAAATTACTGTAAAGATCAATTAAGTTGATACAAATTTCGATATAATTTTCCTCTTTTCACTAATTGTAAGTGCATAGGTTGACGTTTCAGTCTCTATTGTCGACAATTATTGGCAATGATAACGATTGGATTTTTTATTGCGAACGTGACTTGTAGTTCTAATCAAGTATTGTATGTGTATTCCTTGTGTAAATTTTTATAATAAATAGCTTATGCTGGCCACACACATTCTTTCTCGACAGTCTGTATATGTAAGAATTAAATATCAGTAGTCTCTCTAGCCATATGCTATTTACAATAATAAAAATTATCATATGCTCTTGATATGTCAACCATCAGACGGGCTGCAGCTTACGTTTTTTTTCAATAAAGCGCTTATGTGTCTTCGCTTTTTAGTTTTTAAAGTCATTTGCAGATTCTTGCAACAAAGAATTGCTAATACCCACATAGCACGAAACATCCTGAGGACATCTTAAGGATATCCCGAAGTCCTGAGAATTGCCTCAAGACATCCTAAGGATATCCAGGATGTTTGTTATGCTGTTTGGGTATGTATGTACACGGTCTGTCCCAAAAATTTCCGAACTTTTATTAAAACTCACTCTGTAAGGTAATAATTATAAATTTTTATTTATAATTATTCAAAATACGTCCCTTCCAAAGAAATACAATTTTTTGCAATTCTTTACAACGGTCGTATAGCTTTAGAAATCTGTTGAAAAGCAAATACATAACGCAAGGCAATTGGTCACTTCTGCATGACAATACTCTGGCTCACAAGTGCATCGCCCTGCGTAAATTTCTCGCTTCCAAATCGGTCCAAATCGGTCCTTGATCATTCCTTATTTCTCCATGGTGCCATTTTGGCACCATGTGACTATTTTTTGTTCCCGAAACTAAAAATGAAGCTGAAGGGAAAGCAGTTCGACACTATTTTGGATATCCAGAAGGCTTCGACCGAGGCCATTTCGACCATCTTAAAGGAAGACTTTCAGCGGAGTTTTATAAGCTATACGACCGTTGTAAATATTGTATTTCTTCAGAAGAGATGTATTTCGAATAATTATAAATAAAAATTTATAATTATTATCTTACAGAGTGAGTTTTAATAAAAGTCGGAAACTTTTGGGACAGACCCATGTATATATGTATAATATGTATTACTTTTATATATTTTTATGTGTTTCAAGATTCTAAATTGACATTTGATATATTATATGAAGCATTATTGAATGAAACACTCTTATTTTGTTGTGCCCGACCGAAGGTTGAAGGGATGTGCTTTTCGAGGTCGTGTTCGCGGATGTGGTCTTTTTAACCCTTTGACAATTGCATTTCAAGTTTTACGGCTGCCACAAATAAAATAAGCGTATATACATATGTACATCAATTATATATAGTTTATAATAAAATTTAAATTATAATTTAAATTATAAATTTTATAATACAAATAAATACAAAAAAAGTTTTATTATTAAGTTAGTAATCAATGAGAGTGATACAGAGATGGCCATGTAAAATCACTGTGCAAATTAAAGATATAAAATATCGCATGAAAAGAAAATTGCGCATCGTAGCCACTGCGCGTTTCAAAGGGTTAAATCATTTTCTGATCTCGACCGACCGCTTGCCGACCAACTGTATTGAGCACCTTAAATTTAGAAAGCTCGCGAACCGTGCTTTTCCGGCCGAAGACGATGCGAGCGAATCCGACGGCTCGTCTTTACAATGGAATCGAGCGGAATATACCGGTACGTGTCCGATTTAAGTCCTACCATCTTAGAATTGCACGAAATCCCGTTTTGTGTTAAATGTGTGCGTGTGTATACATAAGTGTAGGTGTATAATCGGTGCGTATTTTTCCTCCTTCTCTTACTCTTTTTTCCCTTATCCCTTCCCCGAGCCCGTAAAGAATCATGGTGCAAGAGCGGAAAAACGAAATCCGATGCGTGGAGGAGCGAGCGAAATGTCTTGTTACTCTTATCATATCACAGATTACCCAAAGTGCACTTCGGTTGCTTCGAAATTTATCATACATATACGTTATCGATATTTAGAAAAATAATTGTGGTGATAATTGAAATTGAAGCATTTCTTGGAAATCGTTACGATTTTAATCGTACTCGAGCACTTATTCCGCTGTAATAATTATTCATTGAAATCTTCTCTGGAGTTTACAAGTGTCACAGCTAAATAATAAAATCATTAATTATATTAACGGAATGACAATGTCAATTTTGATCATCTTCAATGTTATTTCACTAGACATCGATAGTTGAAATTCTATTTCTACAATAGTACGGTAAGTCATTCTGCCCAAATACTATGCACAAAGTGATTTCGCCCCATTACGCGGTATGTGGCATTCGAGCAGCTCGAATTCTTTCGATTCTGATGACCGCCTCGAAAACAAAGGAAGATTCGTGACGAAAATCGCGATCGGAAAACCCTTTGGCGATTGTGACGTCAAGAATTCAATTCCGCGCACACGCTTGCCCATCGAGTCGAAAAGTAACGTAACTCGCCGTACATCTCTGAGAAAGTCTTTCATGTGACCGTATCCTTCCCCCGTTCCTCGGCTCGCTCGCCGAGGATGATCGACATTCCTGAAACGTTCTATCCGAGTCTTTGGGTCTGCTCGATATTGTGCCCCATGAGTCTGTCATAATATTCCATCTAAAATCTACATATGTTATTGCGTATAATGTGATTATGTAGATGTGTATATGTATAGGTTGCGCGAGCGCGCGCGCGCGCGCACATGAATGCATGCGAATGGGCATACATGTGTCCCATGCATTTCCCTTATAATCCACATTATCAGTCGTGATATTCTAAGTTTCTTTTAAATTAATTATATAGCTGTTTATATAGCTAAAAATATAATTATGTTAAAAGAGAAGATACTATAAAAATATTTTAAGAATTTAAAGGAAGAATTTTATGGACGTGTCGAATAACGAGCGAGATTTATAGTAGCGCCGTCCGCTTGCAACAAGTCCGTTTTGAAAGCTTTTGCTTGAAAACGGAGTTGCCGCGTACCACCTATTGCGAATGAAGAATCTTGTCAATCGCTGCGGGCGATAATTACACGTTACCGTTATTTCTCCGAATATTATTTTTTCTATAGCGATAATTTATGTTTATTGTCATAAAACCGCTAAAGAAAATGAATAATACGGAATCTTAATAACGGTTTCCATATAGATTTCTCTGCGCGAGAAACTATGATACAAGAACCAAGTGTTCGATTAGCTTTTTTACGCAACTATAGCCGCACGCAAGAATCTTTTCTTACTCTTATTCTTCCTTGTCCTCTTCTTCTTTTCTTCTTCTCTCCCTTTATTCGTGAGCTCAGAACGGCGGGATCTAATTGATCACAGATCACGATCCTTCGATCCTGTCGCCGAATTTCGATGTTTATTCCAGTGTCACCATTATGGGAGCCACCTGCAGGTACTTTTCGCGCGATGCCATCTCCCCAAGTACTTGATCAGCGTGATAGACGTTTTGCCTGGGGTTGTCTCGACGGATCTAGAAGCTGGTCGTGGTCTGGGTCGTCTCGCTGCTCTTCGCCGTCTCTCGTCGCTCCGCGAGGCTGCAGCTGTCCGTATTCCGCGAGTCCCGTTGCAACAGGCCACCCTGAAGAGTTACATCACCAAGAACAATTTCATGTTCTTGTATACCGCGCTGTGTATTTTGTTTTCATTCGAGTATCGAAGCCTCCCTACATCAGATCGTTGATTTGATTAATCAACGTGCAATGTTCTACTTTAACACGGTTTCAAGAATAGTATCGTGTTTATCCAGAATCTGTGCCCACCTGGAGCAACATATTGGCGAAATTACTATTGGTGAACTTGAAGTGCCGCTTGTCATAGAACTTCAGTAGCGCCGGACTATAAGGATGCTGTTCCTTCAGATGAAGATAATGTACTTCTGGCTCATGCGTGGTGTGTCCGCACTCCTCGCAAACGTACATCTGTTCAACAGACAAACAATTTCTAATGTTTCTATCCTTGAAAACAGATAAAAATAAATTTATTAAGTTTTATAGAAGAGATTAATTCATAAAGAGATTCGTAGAGGAATTCACATAAAAGATTTTATATATACAGGGTGTCCCATTTTAATGTCCTACCCTTAATAACTTTGTAGAAATTGGTTTTAGCAAAAAATGTTTCAGACAAAAGTTGTTGAGTTTGGAGGGGTACATTCGATGATGACATTGGTTTAACCTAGGGTGTACATGCCAAGGTTATATAGAGGTCAACTTGGTTTTTTTAAATAGAACACCCTATTTTTTATTCCAAAATCTAATAGCTGATGTCAAGAGCTTTACAAAACACTATAATGAAGTTATTTTTCATTAAGTACTTTTCGAGTTATGAGGCTTGAAAGTTACAGCATTTTGACATAAAATACAAAATATCTTGTAAAACATTCAATTTTCGGGAATCTTACCTTAATACTTTTATGCACAAAATAATGAGACAAATCAATTGGTATAAAGAAAACACATAGTTGCTTTCAAGAAAAAATATGTAATTTGCAACATGCAACTGCATACTTTTTTTTCAACCAATGTGTTTTCTTTATATTAATTCATTTGTCTCATTAAAGTATTAAGATAAGATTCTCGAAAATTGAATGTTTTCAAGATATTTTGTATTTTATGTCAAAATGCTGTAACACACTTTCAAGCCTCATAACTCGAAAAGTATTTAATGACGAATAACTTCATTATAGTGTTTTGAAAAGCTCTTGACACCAGCTATTAGATTTTGAAATCAAAAATAGGATGTTTTATTTGAAAAACTCAAGTTGACCCCCAAATAACCTTCAAAATCGACTTCAAGGTCAAACTTAAAGTCACCAACTTATGGCCCCCAATGACCCCTACAACTTTGGTCTATATCATTTTTCTTGAAAATGTCTTTCTGAAAAGTTATTTACGTGGGGTTTTTAAAACACCCTGTGGGACACCCTGTATATCCTTTATGTAACAATATCCTTATAATATCCTTTATATGCTTGAAACCTTTTCAAAACACATAATGAAAAGGCTCATATGATAACTATCAAATATAATAGAAGAGCGAGCCGTCGCAGGATATTAGTGCGAAATTTTTAATTTTTCTTAAAGAAATTAATTAATTGATCCACATGAGACAGTTAAATTGTACACCGATCTCAGATCGAGATACATAAAGTGTACGAAAAATTAAATACATTGTTCTCACGTATCATAATGTACTAATAGAAATTATTGGAAAGAGAGGAAAAAAGAGAAAAAAATATCAGGGCGCGAGTGGCTAAGTCGGAAATTGAACCTGGGTCTTCCGCTTGCCGAGCGAATGTTCAAAAGAATGTTCGAAAGAACATTCGCCCGGGCAAGCGGAAGACCCGAGTTCACAAAATAAATATATAAATTTAATTATTTTATAGATAACATATAAAAATTATATTTTGATGTAAGAAGCATAATAGTATTTGAAATTATTTGAAAAAGTTTAAATCTTTTAAATATAATATTAAATTTAATGAAAACATTTATAAAAAATGTATGATTTATTCTATCAAAATAATTCTATTTCAGGCATTTCATTAAATTAAATAAGAGGTTAAAGTAACCTATAATTAGGGTATAAACCTAATAGTTTTTTTAGCTTACTTATTTAATTAAATAATAATAAAAAAATAAATAAAATTTTAATTAAAAAATAATTAAATAATAACTATAGATTAATATATTTATTTTCTTTTTTTATTAAAAATTAAAATATTTTAAAATTTTTAATTTAAAATTAAATAAACATTAATAATTTATAATATATATTAAAATAAATAATATTATAAATATATATAAAATTTATAAATATTAATTTAATTCAATTCCCGGCTTAGCCACTCGCGTCCTGATATTTGAATTAATTAATTTCTTTAAAAAAAATAAAAAATTTTGCACTAACATCCTGTGACGGCTCTAAATGCTCTTCTATTATATTGTACTATAATTTTATCCATTTCGGCCATTTCAAAGTTATCGAATTACTATGACACTTAAACATCAGCAGTCTGTGTTTGCTAGGCCAATTGTCACATCAAGGATCAGTTTTTATTTTGACGTCCTCATAACCACCGCAATCTTGCTCTCATTGCTGGAACATCCTCCGATCTTGCTTTCGTTGGCCGGATCACTCGCCGATCTTACCTTCGTTGGCTGAACATCTTACCATGAAGACTTCAATAAGTCTACATGTACTATGTTTTTTGCCGGCAGATTTGGGAGAAGAAACAATATCTTCGGATTACATTTTTTGGACTCAAAGGACATCACGTTAATATTTCTGGAGGCGGTCGTTCGCTTCTTAAGAAAAGAAGGGTGATCTCTGTAGGAAGGATACGTGCGTATGCGGCGGAGATACAATGGGTCACGGATATAAGTGCCGATATAGATACCTACATCTATCGCGTGTCTAGATAAATAGATAAATACATAAATATAAATTCATTCATTTCAATGAACAGTTTACCTTAGCACGTCGCTCTTTATACGCATATTGATGCTGAACGCCATGAACCTTCTGACCGTGGCTCTCCAGAGAACATCTCTGCGTAAAACTCTTTTCGCAAAGGAAGCATTTGTAAGGTCGTACTCCTGTGTGCGTTCTCGTATGTCTTTTGAGATCAAACGTGTCGTTGAAGCCCTTTCCGCAGAACGTACAGAGATAACGCTTCACGTCGCTGTGACATTTCATGTGGCGATTGAGAAGTCGCTGGAGACTGAAGGTTTTGCTGCACACACGGCAGGTGAAACGATTGGGATCATCCTCCTGTTAAGCGAAAGATCAAAGTACATTCTGTTCTAATGGCACCTTATAATTTCACAACACATCTTCACAATTTGATACGGTAGTTACATCACATTCTTAATAACGATGGTTGCGTACATTTTACGTAAAAATATTTATAATGTTGCGTTACCTTGCCAGGCGGCGTTCGATTCACTCTTTCTTCATCTCGATTAGTTGTCGCTTGCCTTTGACCCTCGACGGCTAAAGGATTCTTTATGCCGTGACCCCCGTTAACAAATTCTATCTGACAGTCATTTGGTAAACCCAACTGTGAACCGATGAAAAGGCACGTTAATCTTTGTCGAGTTCTCTTAGATTATCATAAGTTTTATAACATCGGATAAAGCACTCAAATTGATTGACATTGCATAGTACGCGTAAGAGCGGAAACTAACAATTCACTCTTTTTTTTTTTACCGTGATGTATACGGATGTCATATCGGATCGCAATGTGTCCATAAACTTATTCAAATGATTCAATCGACGTTCGAATAATTCAATTCGATCGATGTGGTTTGAGTAATTCGTGGACAAATCGCAAGTAAGTCTAAAAGAGGATCAAGTCAACTCGATCACACTTCGAGACTATCATTTAACATCGTAAAACGAACAAGTATGCTTTTGCCTGGATCAATTTGGTTGCTTACCCTTTGTTGAAGTACACCGACCCGTTGTGACAGCGGTGGTTCACCTACTGGCCCGTTAGTTTGAGCTGCATTCACTGTGCTGGGTGATACAACCGGACTGTGGGCGTGTTCTGCCAGCGCGCATGATGGAGAGGTGCCGGTTGAAGTACCGTCCAAGGAACAGCTAGCAGTGCCGGGACTGGGCAAGCTTCCACCAACGCTGCTACCAGAGTCTAATTCTAGCCCTTCGATATATCAAAGGAAACCAAACCATTAACGTGAAATTAGTTCTAACCTGATTATAGCCATCTAAATTGACAAATTAAGTTTCTCTTCAGCAAACATTTGTCTATATTAATTTTTTTATAGTCTTTTTATTTTTAATATTAATTACTCAACATAACTCATCTTTCAAATAATAAATCTGCTACAATTGCACTTAATCTTGCCGGAGAAAAAGATATTGTTATCTGCATAAATTCTTTATTACTATTAAGGGAAAATATTTTGACTACAAATATTGTATCATAAAATAAGATTAAAAGAGCTTAAAGGAATGCTAGGTCTTAGTGTGAAACAGCTATATTCTATTATAAAGACATGAGGAGCATGTTCGATGCTCTGGGGGATGATTGTGTATCATACAAGATAGTGAAAACACTATCCGCAAGGATAGCTGAACCGCACAGTCATTTGGGCTTAGCCGAAAATGAGGTCTTTTTTTGGTGTAGATAAGCGCGTTATCGGTATGTTGTCGTCGCATCTACTATCCAAAGGCCAATGGCGCGCTTATCTACACCTATCTACACTTATCTATCCCGAAAATGGACCTCATTTTTGCTCCTCAGTGTACACAAACGTTTCAGCCTGTCGTCAGGCCATCTTCAATGTCACATAAATAAATAAAATTAGTGGGCATTAAAATCTGTGTCTCAATAAGAGTTGAGGTATGTGCATTCAGTTTATATTTTCTTTCCTTTTATTACTTATTTTTCATTCCGGTTTTAATTGAACTCCGGTTTCGAATCTGACAGGACTGACGAATATGGATCATATTAATTTTTATTTGTAACGGACGAACACTCAAGAAAAAATTTTAATGCGCACTAAAAAATTACTCAGAAAAGAATTTCGGGAATATGAAGCAACATTATACAGGGTGTTTTATAATGTCCGTGCCAACGCTCGTGTGCGAGTAGAGTGCGGTAAACTGAATAGAAAAGTCCTTTACCGTTTTGCAATTTTCGCAATAGTAATTGAGATATTAATTAAAAGAGATTGACGAATAATCGCGCGTTGCGCGTAGCTAGATCGTGGGCTGTACACTCTAAACGTGACAACAACGAGGATCGCATGGCAACGAAAAATAACACGTAGCGAGAGCAGGAGTGATATGCGTTGTTATTTTTCGTTGCCATGCGATTCTCATTGCTGTCACGCCTAGAGCGTACAGCCTACGATCTAGCCGCGATCAACGCGCGATTATTCGTCAATCCCTTTTAATTAATATCTCAATTACTATTGCGAAAATTGCAAAACGGTAAAGAACTTTTCTATTCAGTTTACCGCACTCTATTCGCACACGAGCGTTGGCACGGACATTATGAAACACCCTGTATAGAACAGAGATGGGAATTAGTTGTAACTTTCGGCTCGATTATCTGATTGACGCCTCTTGCTCCCTCCTTGCCACTTGCATGCTAGCAACGAGTCGTCAAACGCGCTAACAACGCGCGTAACTAAAATGCGCGATATTCAGCCTCAGGAATGTCCATATCACAAATGCAACAAGATAATAAATATGGGATAAATATAGGTTTCCACCTGTGAGGTACTATTATTGACACGTCAATAATAGTACCTCACAGGTGAAGTGGAAATCTATTGTCCTATATTTATTAACTTGTTGCATTTGTAATATGGACGTTCCTGAGGCTGACAATGTGTATCACGTATCTTAGTTACGGACGTTGTTAGCGCGTTTGGTGACTCGTTGCTAGCATGCAAGCGGCAAGGAGTGAACAGTAGGTGTCATCAAAAAATCGAGCCGAAAGTTGCAACTTCCCATCTCTGATATAGAAGACAGTTTCGTCCTTCGCTACAATTTGATTATGTTTTCGGTATACAAAAATTAAACGTGCTAATGCTTGACATTTAAATGCATTCTCACAAATTTGCGCTCAAATCCTTATTATTAAATTACCGTACACTGAGGAAAGTCAAAAACAATGGCCGAAACGTCTGTACTCTTAATTTGAATAAATAACTGAGCACGTAAAAAATCCAGCTCTGGCTCTATTAGTTTGTTTATTAGTGTAATTGATTATTAAAATTAATATAAACCTACAATGATCATTACAATAAGATGTTCCATTAAACGATGTAAATTATATAAAATAAAAAACGTGCTTTAGAACGAGTATAATAAAGCGCAATAGTTCGCTTGTATCGCATTAGATAGAGAAGGTAGAGAAGAGTTCATTTGAAATTAATTCATGGCCATTATTTATGTGTTCAAATTATAAAAAGTAAAGATTGACTGAAAGAATTTTTTGAATTTACTTAGTATGTTGTATGTGATAAAACAAAGTACAAAACCACCGTAATATTGAGTTAAAAAATTTTGAAAAGTTACAACTAAAATAAATTAAAAATTACGTTAAAAAGGTAATTTTATATATGTAAAAAAGAAATAAATTTAAACATACAATATTCCATATCGCTGTCATCAACGGTCTAAAGAGTGGAAGAGGCAGATAATACGTGTTGTTTAATTACAGGTTCGAACGTTAATATTAGCTCTAACAGATACATAACCAAAATAATGGAAGACAAAAGAGGAAGGGGATATAACAATATTGAGGAGTAGAAAAAGAGATGTTAGGAATCAACGGGAAGGAGAAAGGAATATGATTTATAAGGGAGGGGGGGGAATAAGTTAAGAATCGGGAGGTATGACTCGGATAAAAAGTCTGTATCATTTTGATTGTTGATTCCCGTGCTTTGACGTTTAATGAAAATCATTTCAGAGGTCAATCTCTTATTGTAAGAGAGTTCCTCTTACGTACCGGTTCTAATGAATCTTTTTAAATTATACGAGATGGAAAAAGCAATCCTCATATCAAAGTTCTTCGCAATTGAACAAAAATCTTTGGAAACAGACTTAATATAAGGCACAGTCAAGAATTCTTTATTGTCATTCCTATCAGAGTCAGTATTATAATTGTCATTGTAGTTAATAGTCCTATTATGAAATAAGTATCTGAGTCTTTTGTGAATAGTTGAAAAAATAAAATTTAATGGATAACCGTTATTAGTTAAAATATTTACAATTGACATTATGTTCTTATGATGGAATTTCGGATGAGAAAGTAAAAACATTCTGTGTCTATTAGTCCCAAAATATTATATATTAATTTATTTATAATATAATATTAATTATATTAATTTTATTTATTTATGTGAAAATGGCCTGATGATAGGCTGAAACGTTTGTGTACATCGTGTCTTTGTAATAGAATATAGCTGTTTCGCACTAATTGTAAGACCTAGCGTTAGTTCTTTAAGCTTTTTTAATCTTATTTTATGATTTTTCAATCGGCAAAGCTTTATTAACTTTATTTTAAATATTGTATCATTTATAAGATATTGCTGAAGAAAATTACCTTAAAAACAATGGAAACTTTTGCATATGTCTAATATTAGAGCCGTTTTCTAATTGCACGTCGTTTATTTAATAATTACATAAATATGAAAACAGTCGGGAGAACTTACCATTACCGGTAAAACTTAATCCTGGGCTCAGAAGACCTTGATGTTGCTGCTGTTGTTGCTGCGGGTGTGGCGATGCGGTGACTTGCTGTTTCGTCTGATGCTGCAATTGTACTTGAATTTGCAGCTGCTGCTCCTGCTGATGCTGATGATTCTGATTCACGTGCAATGGAAGCTCCGGGCGTTCCTTCGGAAGTGGCTGATAGCCCGACTCTCCGGCCGCGTAGCTTAAACCCGCGAGTTTAGACGCATTGAAGTGTTGTGGGGTCGTGTAATGTCTGGGAAAGGCGAGATCAGAATAATATTTTATCTCGATTAAAACTCATAATTAATATTTGTTACAATTGACTTTTTTACTCACTGCAGATAAAAGTAAACACGAATGTATCTGTTAATCACTGAGCGAGAAATTAGTTTTCACGGCAATGGAAACACTCACCTCGTGTCAAAGCCTCTGGTCAAGGCCATGCTGTGCTCGGGGAAAGGATCGACGCTGGGCTCGACGGGAGTGGTCATTTGACTGGCGTCCTGGCCGATTCCGCTGCTGCCGGTCGAGGCGGGCGAATGCAATGACTCCTCCAAGAGATCGCTACCGCCGTCGTCGGTTTGCAACCTAGGCAACAAGAGATCTGCGGCGTCACTAAGACTTTCTAGTAGCGCCGTGTGATCGGATGGTGAATTGAAGGTCAAAGTCGCCGCGGTGAACTGCAACGGGTCTACTACGACACCGGTCACCATGTCTACCATCATGCCCGTGTCAGTAACGTCGTAGTTACCGTACGGGGCGGATAACAGATCGTTTGTCTGAATTTTGTATGTCTCTTCTTCTTCCTCCTTAAACATCAAACCGTAGGATGCGCAAACATTTGCACAGACATTCTGAAGAAGAGAATACTGTTTGCCCTCCTGTGCACTATACTGAGCGTGCTGAGAATTATCTTGTTGACCGGTATCGCATTCAATTCCAACCGCTGTCAATGGTGTAAGATATGCATTTCCTGAAATAATAACAGAGGAAATGGAGACTGTCCTGTGAAAGTCATAAACTTTATTAGTTTGGATATTTTTGTAATAGATGATATTATCTTTTACTAAAAAGATATTTTATTTTATTGTAAAAGACTACCAATTTTCATTGTAAATAATGTTTAAAAAATGCAACAGATAAAGTGTGTGAGCATTGTTAAAAATTAGAGATCACTAGTATTAACCAGTTCAGTGGTAATGTATCATATATGTACAAAAAAAGTGCCAAACGTGGTAATGTATCATATATGTACATTTTTAAATAATTCCAATAATTTTCAACAGATTTGCATAAAACTTGATATTAAAAGGTTTTTTGGGCTGCTGAATTCAAATCTGATGTCAAAATTGCAAAATTTAAAATGGCGAATCCAATATGGCGACTATTAATTGTTTAAATAATTATAATAATAAACCAATAATTTCTAACATATTTGCATAGTATTTGGTACACGAAGGCTTTTTTTCAAATGTCGAAATAAACAATTCTTTTTCACCTCCATCATTAGCTGGTTAAATATTTTAACGAACCCCCACATTTTGGTTTACACGATCATAACTTTTGATTGGAAGATCGTAGTAAACATTTAAAAAAATCATTGTTCTCGTCTTGGAAAGCCCTTTCAAATGAGTCCTCACTCGACCTAGTGCCATTTAATATTTTTTACCCCTATTCTACCCCCCCCCCCCTTCAGGGCGTGAAGGACGATCCACACCCATTCCGAAAAGTAGCTTTTTCGAAAACTTTGAACTTGTGTTTCACCGTTTTTTGATATTTTAACTTTTGACTCTTACCACTTTTGGCACAAACTCTTTGCAAAAGTCTACCACTGAACTAGTTAATATTATTTTAAGACAGTACTATGATGAATTATGTATTATTGGAAAACAAGAAAATGAGAAAATTTGATAAAAATCTAGCCGAAGCTATTGTTAACACCGTTTTGACGCGTATGAAAAATTTGTGAGACAAATAAAGGTGAGAAATGATTAACCTTGAGCACTGTTATATTGATTGGCGAAGTTGGCCAAATTGTTGCCGCCTTTTAGGGACTCGTAGAACGGCGGCAAGGATCCTGTCGGCGGCGAACTCGGTCCATAGTTGCCGCGTCCTCCGTTTCCTCCGGGAGGCATACCACCTCCACCGGCGCCACCGCCTACGGCACCGCCACTGCCACCACCGCCACTGCATCCGCCGATCATCGTTCCGTTGCTGCATCCACCGATCATCCCGTTGTTGTTCGACGAGGGCGAGGAATTGCCGGAGCCGCCGCTGCCGCCCGAGGAACCGTTGTTGCCCGAGTTCGAGGATCTGCCATGCCCCGCAGCCGCTTGCACCACATGCGAGCCGGACAGTTTCACGGCCAGCAGCGATCTTGCAATCGAATTTCCGGAGATGCGCGATGCTACTGCGCCATCACGACACTTCTCCTCATCTTCTTCTTTTCGTTTCGGTACTGCATAATCAATCGGCTGTTCCTGAAATAATTATTAATACATTTATTGAATTATTGCTATTGTTTTTTTCATCGTGTACAATATTATAATATTTTTTCAGGGAGGGGAAGGGAAAGAGAGAAGAAGGGAGACCTTTATCCTTATATAAAACTATTTATTTTTATATAAAAGGAGATATATATATATATATATATATATATATATATATATATCTTT